TCTCTCTCCCTCTCTCTCTCATAATTCCTTTTTATAAACTCATTTCTTTAGGAAATCAGGCGTGCCCTGTGTGAAAAGTTCAATGAAGCCATATGCCTCTCAACAGTTCTCGGTGAAGAGGCTCTGTCGCTCTCAATCTGAAATCTGCGAGGCTGTTCCCTCGTGACTTTGCACTTCTAATTCTTTTCCGAATTATCATTGGTTATTGTGTAGGTTGACGCCTCTTTTAACACTAACGGGTCATCTAAGAGGCAGGACTTCCGAATTTAGCGTCCATCTCAAATAGGCCAGGGCCAACCAATGGCTTTGAGCTGTAAAATCATTATAACACAACCCAAGTTCAGAAGGCTATGTCGGAGATTGAAACCACGGCCATCCGCTCCGTAGTCTAAGAGTAAGCTAAATTCGTGCCTCTGCATATCCGTTGTTATAAACGGCTTTTCTAGGAGTAATGATCTACAGTTGTAGTCGTCATGCCTACACACAATAAATAAATTACAAGATCTAAGGCCTCAAGATGAAATTGAATAGCTCTATCTTTTAAAAGGCAAATGAGACGTTCAGAATCCCTCCTGGTTTCGAAGCATAGCCTCCGTCTAGCATGTCTTCCAAATGCGTTGCCAACATGATGGGTGCTATCCTAAATTCAATGTCATGGCGTATTTGGGTACGATCAGTCACCTGAGCTTTCTTCTATTTGGATAATTTGAAAAACTTTTGTGGCCCTTCATCCTCTCCATTTTGACATTTAGGAGACAGACCGCTACCATAGAATTACAAAGTTCTATCTGACGTTTTTGGCTGTTTCGAATTTTTAAAAACTATGAGGTCAGAAACCTGCGCTATTACAATCATATGATTATTTGGAGTCGTTATCAAGTGATGTTTGCATTCGAAAGAGCTTGACATGCTATGAAACTCTAATTTTTTTCCGTCAAATTTATCAAAAGTAGGTGTTGAGAAGATAGAACGTTGTAATTCTGGTGCAGCGAGATTTTATATTGGAGGTCATGTCTCCCGAATTATGTCATTAGTCCCTGTGCATACAAGATCAATTTCCACTTACCAAACAGCTGCGAGTATGTAAATAAGGCAATGTTTGCCCCTTTGTCTCTCTTCACAGCTAAGTGGCCTTATGCTTCGCAGTCGTGTGACGGGCAGAAATTTTCTTATTACGTGTGGGGTCATAGAGTGTGGAAAGAGACACGTAACTGGGGCTGCAGGTGGTTGGTGGCTGCCAGTGATAGATCTTACTTTTCTTCTTCCTTTTCCTTATTTCTTCCTGCCTTTTAGATGTCTTTTTCCTGCACTGAATGACCATTGCTGTGTTAAAATGCTGCCTTTACTCATAATAAACCAAAACGAAACAAAACTGTATTCCACTGCATCAATTCTCATCTTCAGTCTTTTTTACTTGAAATCAACAAAACTGAACAAAGCAGAGATTCTTGTGTGGTTGGTTTGCTCCTACTTTCCTCTCAAACAGCTACCTTCCTTATCTCCCCTCCTTCTATTTTTTATATGTTACTCTTTTGGTAACATCTCTAAAAAAAAAACCCACTAAAATTCCATTGTGATTCCCCTCCACAGACACGTCCCGAGTTACGCCAAACTCTGTGTCTTCGCTATGCTGTTCAACCTCGTGCTGGGTGTCGTGGCATTCTTTCTCAACAACCGGGCGAGGCGGGAATACCGACGTCATCGCTTTAGCCGCGCCAATATCTTGTACTTTTTCGTCATCATTCTTTGCACAACCTCCATATTCATCACTATCTCGGTGGCCACTTTGCTGTTGGCGAATGGGATCGTTGAGGGACCAGCACAGGTGGAAAGAGACCGTATCAAGGAGAAGTTGGAGTGTCAGGCCAAGTATCTGGGTCAGAGTTTTGACATTATGAACTTCTACGGGATGGAGGAAGAGGTTTTTTGCACGTTTGCCAATAACGAAGGCGTTATGCAGGCGTTGATGGGTTATATGATGGATGTCAACATAATGAAGGGTATGGTCAAGACCAAAGTGGAATGTAAGCTCACTACTGTAGAACAAAGCGGGAGTGAGGCTTCTCCTGATCACAGCAAGTCTTTGGGCATTGAAAACTTAAATAGCATAGGTACTGCTTTAGAAAACGGGAGCTCTTCTTCTATAGATGGGAATCTGAATTCGACAGGTGGGACAAAGAAGGAGAAAGGGGAAACAGGGGATTCAAACACAGTCCCCACTCGTGGAGACAATGAAAGGCTGGCTGCTCGAGGAAAGGAAGACTTTAACAGCAGGAATGAGGTGGGTTCTCCGCGTAACACAAAGCACTTGGTGCCTCAGACTCACGATACTGTGAAAAAATCTGAGGAAGCTCCCTATGTCTCTGACAGCATGAAGCAGTACTTGAACGAGTTGCAGAAGAAGAATTCTCATTCTGGGACGTCAGACTCAAATATTGGCGTGCAAACGACAAATCAGACAAACAAGGCAAATACTGCCCCAGAAGGTGATGGTTTCACGGAGATTAATAGAACTGAGAGCATAAAACCTTCACTAAACACTTCTGTTACTCTCGGCTCAGACTTTACAGCAACAAATATGAATGATACCAATGTTGATGAGGCTTCACAGCTGTTCGGCGAAGTCTCTGCCAACAGTACACAATTTGAGAAATTTACGAGCAATAAAACTCAGTCCATAAGTCCTGAGACACCTGCTACACAGGGTGGAGACAATCCATCATGGAGCTTCCTAAACTCAACTGGAGACACAGCATAGCAGTAAGGAACATGTCTGCCAAAGCAACGTGTGTTTTTGTGCAGAGAGCCCTTATTATTGTGTTTGTGTGAATGGCTTTCTGCTCAAAGCGCGACCTTCATCATAGGACAATCTACAATACCTTCTTTACTCCGATCAAAATCATTAGAGCATGTTTCACTAGCATCTATGGTGTAGCAGTGACGTTATTCGGCGCTGTACGCACTCTCTGCTTGGAAGTTGGACCCCGCCCAGCTGGGGTAGGCATCGTATAAGACCTAAGTTCTGTTGATGCAGGCTTAAAACTCGCACAATGTCTCCCATGCTACGTTTTCTGCTGTTGATATCAGCATCTCAAATTGTTTACACAGAACAACTGAAGTACCTGGGCGTCCTCGTAGTGCCGTATGGCGTCACGCACTCAAAGAAAACGCCCACACTCGCTGGATCAAAGACATCCACAATTTCAAGAAGAGAGTACCACATTTGTGGCGCAGTATGTAAAGGATTAGATCAACCATGCGGACGTTTGTGGCTCAAGTCCGAGCGGTGTTCGAATACTTTGTTCTACCTTAAAAGAATACTTTCTCTCATCCCGGTATCTGAAACGGACTTCCAGTAGCAGCAGAAAAATAAAAATGGGTCTCAGAACTACTGTTCCATATTAGTTGAAGAATTACATGATTGGAAACGCACTGTCTCAGCGTGTACTTATATATGTTTGTTGTATACATCATGGGTAAAATTAATTGGAAAATAATTATGTTTACCCCTGAAATTGGCAGGGTTTCGCACAACCCCCCCCCCCCCAACCACCACCAATATTGAAACCAAAAAAAGTTGAGAAAAGACCTATCTAGAACAATGACTCTCTAGGATATGGTTAGAATCCTTGTCTGTCTGCCCTCAGCAAGAATTTATTGTCCAACAGTATGGCAGGTTTCACATTTTACAAGAAGCCCTCCCTCGTCTCCATTTTCAGACTGAAATGTAAAGGCTTGGAGAACAAACGACCTTGACCCGTGAGTTCAGCAGTCAAGATTTGTTTCAAGTGAAAGGGAAGCGGCGAAAATTAATACAACAGTTTTTTACCGCATATGAAGAGCACAGTGGTAAACTCTCCTTATAGTCGAAAATCTGAGTTATTACACAAAAAACTAAGCAGGTGATTGCTTGAGAATAAAAAGCTTCCTTTAACAGTTTCGTTGTATTCGAAGCTACCAATGACAAATCGCCGCTGCTTTTATCCTTTGTTTATCTTGTTGTTCAAAAATGACAAACCTGTTATCGTCAAACGTAGGTGCCATAGTTTTTTTTCTAAACAATGGCGCGAAGTATTATGGCTTTTAAGGGTAGTTATTTGTATCATGTCGTGCTTCGTTGTGAATCTCACCATCATCACCATCGTCAATGCCATACTTATATATGACATATCCATCCTTTAAAAAAATTATTATTAGTATGATTGTCATTGTAGTAGTTATTTTGTTGTTGTTGTTGTTGTTGTTGTTGTTGTTGTTGTTGTTGTTCTTCTTCTTCTTCTTCTTCTTCTTCTTCTTCTTCTTCTTCTTCTTCTTCTTCTCCTCCTTCTTCTTCTTCTCCTCCTTCTTCTTCTTCTTCTAAATGTCATTGTGTTTGTCGCTTACCTCATAGCTTTTTGTGATCAATCTGTTTATTACGAGAGCTGTTGGGAGGACACATAAGTAATTATTATCTATTTCACATCACTATTATTATCCTTTGAAGTCACAATCATCATCTGAAGTCTCTTGAAAACATAATTGAATATATCTTCTATTTACCCTCCACTTCTCTCTCAATACTCAGTACACCTGCTATCTCTACTGGCAGCTGCTGTTTCTTTTTTTTACAGACAATTTGTTTTTGTGTGTACATAACCATTATTGATACAAATAGATTTATATCTATAGTGTGTGTGTGGGTGAGTGGGGAGGAAATGGGGTGCGTGTAAACGTTATACTGTACATAATATTTTTAAAGTTGCATACTTGTAAATATAGATATGTGTGTGCGTTTGTGTATGTATGTATGTATGTATGTATGTGTTTGTGTGTGTGTGTGTGTGTGTGTGTGTGTGTATGTATGTGCGTGCGTGCATGTGTGTATGTGTGTGTGTGTGTGTGTGTGTGTGTGTGTGTGTGTGTGTGTGTGTGTGTGCGTGGGTATGTATGTGAGCACGTAAAGTTTTTCTGTTTTCTGTCAAGTCAAAATTGTAACTTCTGACAAATGAAAATCCTTTTGATTTTAATTTAGATGTATCGTTCCTTTAAAGAGGATTCGTTACAAAAATGGTAACGTTCTTGTCAGTTCTAAGTTGTGTTAATTAAGTAGAACGGTCCTTTGCTGTTATGAAAAAAAGCAAGATGAAAAGATAGGAACAGCGTAAGACCTGTACAGAAGAAAAAACGACTGGTGGATGCATTTGAGTGGCTGTTATCTCTTTGAAGCATGTTGGGTTTTTTGTTGTTGTTTTTTCTGTAATCAAAATTGTCAGGGTTTTTTTCCTTTTGATGCCCAAAATGTTGAGACTTTCAAATGCTTTCTATTTGTGTTTCCTTTGATTTCAAGCTTTCAGTTTTTATTAATGACGACAACATGCGTATGAGAGGATAGATTTTGGGAGATGTGGTTCCATTAAATATCTTTAAGATTCAGCATGTTGTTTGTTTCACAAGGAAAACAAGGAGCGATATTATACATGATTTATTTTGTGTCTCTAACTCCATAGTTGTAGCTTTATGTCCTCGTGAGCAGTATAGACGATTTGTTGTAAATGTTATAATTAAAGTGGCTCAAATTCTTCCGCGAAAAATCAGCCTCAAAACATTAAGATTTAACGCTTAGGATTTTCCACACACGTATTCGTATTGCCATATTGTACAGATGATGCTGACATGATTTTGAATGTCACATTGGAACTTCGTGCCATAAGGATACCTCAGATATTTTTGTAATAAGAATTTATGTCAGTGCCATTGCGTCAGTTACTGCTATTTTGATTTTACCTTGAATTCTGCATGCCATTACTAAAAGATGATATTGCCATAATTGTTTGAGATTTACTGATGGTTTTTTTATATGATTGTCACATCATGAAATGATAATGAATATACGATTAAATGTGTATTGTTGTTTTACATTGGTTTGCTGTTTTATGTGTATTGAGTGAGATTTTGAATTGTCATCCCTAACTGCTTTCTTGGTAATATCATGCTGGACCATTCTTGAGTCCTTAGTTTTAATTTGTAATAATGTTACAGTGTAATTTTGACTTTTGATGCAGAACAGCACATGTTTAAAAATAGAACTTACAACTACAGGTGTACAAGTTCCACAGACATGTCTTAAAGTAGAACCTGATGCGGGTGTGCAAGTCTCTCATACTTGTCTAAAAATATGACCTGTAACGGGAGTATAAATCTCTCATACTTGTCTAAAAACAACCTGCAACGGGTGTATAAATGTCACGTGCCTTTTCTTCCGAACCATTTAAAATATTGAAATAATATGCCATTGACGTCACCAGTGCAGTGATCAGGCCTTTTTTATCGTAGCGCACAAAGGACACAAGTTCTAATTTGTAAGAATGGTACTGTGTAATTTTTAGTTTTGATGCAGAAAAGCAAACATACTTGTCGAAAAATAGAACCAACAACATGTTATAAGTCTCTCGTGATTTTTCTCCCGAATAATTTAGAGTATTTAAATGTGTACCACTGGCGTCATTGGTGCAATGATCAGACTGTTTTTTTTATTGATGCGCACAAAGGACAGAAGTGCGATTCCCATGTGGGGTGGTCTGTTTTATAGAGTTTATCCGCCTTTCTGCCGTAATGCTCTATCCCACTCAGCTCTGAATGGCGCTGACAGACAGCCTGCCTTCTAAACCATCAAAGTTGGGGCTCAAAACCTATCATTTTAAAAATTAAATAATATGTGTAGAAAGGTAATAACAACGCATTTGATGCCAAACTTCGCCCAGGCTGGCTTGTTTAAGTTAGTCATGTCATTAGTGTATGTGTCTACGCGCGCGCGCGCGCGCGCGTGTGTGTGTGTATGTGTGTGTGTGTGTGTGTGTGTGTGTGTGTGTGTGTGTGTGTGTGTGTGTGTGTGTGTGTGTGTGTGTGTGTGTGTGTGTGTGTGTGTGTGTGTGTGTGTGTGTGTGACACAATGCCTGGCTCCGAGTATACGAGATGCAAATGAAATAATGCAATTAGAACTGAAAGCTAAATGTTTTACGCCCCCATCGACAGAACTTAGATCACAGAACAGGAAGCAGGCTTCTTCGAACCTGCCTGCTCCTGCTAGCGCCAAACCTGGGCTGAGAGTGATACATTATTACAGTACACAGACTGAGATACGGGGTGCTCTCGTAGCCTTGAGGTTAAGGTGTTCATCTCTCATAGTGACGAAGGCTAAAGTTTCGTGCGTGCATTTTCTCTCTTTTTTAGCGGGTTGAAAAAAAGGGGTTGGGGGCGTGTTGAGCTTTTTAACTCTCTAGACATAATTTCTTGACCGTTAATTTTTTTTCTAATGTCCACTTGCAAAACCTTTTTGATTCCTTTTGCTCTATCAATGTGGTTATTTGACAGGCCTTGTCTTCATGGCTGTCGTCATTGTTGCTCCCGTTAATGGCGTGATTGTTGTTGCTGTTACTATTATGGTTGTTTTTATTGTTGTTGCTGTTGTTATTGCTGCTGTTGCTGTTGTTGTTATTGTTGTTGTTGATGTTGTTGTCGTTGAAGTTGTTTTGTGTTATTGGTTTCACTTCTGTGTTTGCAACTTTTGCTGTAGTCCGTGGTGATGTTGTTGCAGTTGTACCTTATATTTTATAACAAAAGTATTACCCATGGTAAAAATGATGGTTGTTAATCTATCTGCATAATAATGTTATTTTTTTATTGTAAAGGTGTCTACAGTTTTTAAAAATGCAACGCCCTAGTGTTACCTTTTTACTGCAAATCTCAAATTGTGTGTGTGAGAATGCGTGTGGGACTATAGTGTGTGTGTGTGTGTGTGTGTGTGTGTGTGTGTGTGTGTGTGTGTGTGTATTTGTGTATTTGTTGTTGTTGTTGTTGATATAGGGTCTCACAATATACATTTTCTGTCGTTTAATTTGTCTGTTAAATTGAGTAAATTATTCTATATTGTACAGCGCAATTAGAGCCTTCTGGGATTCGTTTTTTTAGCCCCCGTTTAATTTTTTTTTATATCATTATTATTATTATAATTCTTATCATCATCATCATCATCATCATCATCATCATCATCATCCTCATCATCATCATCCTCATCATCATCATCATCATCATCATCATTATCACCATTACCATCTTCCTCATCATCATCATTTTATACACTTTTGACACTGGCATTAGATGGTAGACAATCCAGCCAATATCAGTAATGCAGTCGTCTGTGGTATGAGCGTTTACACCATCATTATTGGTATACATATCATCATCATCATCACCATCATCACCATCACAATCATCATCATCACCATCATCATAACCATTTTCCTCTCAAACAGCAATAGCAGAGTCGCCACCACAACCACCACCACCACCATCATCATCATCATCAGATCATCATCATCCTCATCATCATCATCATCATCAGATCATCATCATCAGAAGCAGCAACAGCAGCAGCGCAGGAGAAACAAATATACAGCACCTGCAAGAGAAGAATAATATTATGCTACATCAGCATCAGCATCAACGTTGTCATCACTCTCATCTGCAGCAAAAACCCATCAGCAATGGCCTCGTCAATAAAACAATTATCAACAACAGCAGCAAAAATGGAAGCAGCGGCACCTGAAACCGTCATCTCAGACACCACGACGATATCCGCTGCGTGGTCCATTAGCACAAAAGCCCTTTGATCATGATCCTCTTCATAATGCTGTGCATAATAACATGGCATTACGCGCTGGGTCATTGGCCTCTTATAATATATA